GCAGGAAGTGGTGCTTCTGAATTAATGGGAAAAGACGAAAAGCCTGTTGAATCTGATAATTTGTTTGATGATTTAAAGTCACAGGCACCCGAGGGGAGGTTAGATTCTCTTGAGTTTTCTGACCATGAGCTTAGCCAACAGGCATCTCTTCAGTCTGACAATGATGATTTACAACCTGAAACTAGTAGTTTACATAGTCCCATTAAGTCTGAGGAGTCTGACTCTCCTTCCGGACTAAGACGTTCAGATAGAAAGAGACAGAAGCCACAACGTTTTGCAGATGAACATTTTAATACTGTGTATGCCAATAAGGCGGTTTTTGAGCCAAAAAGCTACAATGATGTTCAGAATTTACCTAAACACCAAGCTGCAAATTGGTATAAAGCTATGAACTCTGAAATAGCTTCTTTAAAAGAGCATAACACTTGGTCTCTTGTACCACAAACCCCAGATATGAGACTTATTGATTCAAAATGGGTTTATAGAGTTAAAATGAATGACAAAAATGAAGTTGTAAGGTACAAGGCTAGATTAGTTGCTAAGGGTTTTCAACAAATTCCAGGTGAAGATTATGATTTGTGTTATTCACCAAGTGTAAAATATGAAACAGTTAAGCTTTTGTTAAAAGATGCATCACAACGTGGACATTCTGTTTATCACCTAGATATAAAAACTGCATATTTGTTTGCAGATTTAAAAGAACAAATTTTTATGCGTGTCCCTGAAGGCATAGACGCCGCTGAAGGTTTGGTATGCAAATTAAATAAATCCCTTTATGGTCTGCACCAAAGTGGAAGGAACTGGCATCAAACTTTAGCAAAAGAATTGCTGGATATTGGTTTTTCACAGGGAAAGGCAGACAATTGTGTGTTTATAAAGGAAAGGGCAAACTCTGTAGCAAAAATATGTGTGTATGTAGATGACGTGTTAATTTCTACAAAAACTAAACAGGAATATGAACAGGTAGTAACACAGTTACAGAAGAAATTTGATGTGGTGGAATTAGGCATAGCTAAAAATTACTTATCCATGCAAATTGAGAAAGGCAAAAATGGATCTTTTCTGGTTCATCAAACTGCAAAAATTGATGATCTTGTTGGAATGCTACGTTTAGAAAATGCAAATGGGAAGGAAACGCCCATGGTGTGTGGTTTCACTTTTACAGGTGAAGATAAGCCATTTCCTAACAAAACTTTGTATCGTTCTGCTATAGGCAAGCTAAATTTCATTCAAAGAATCTCAAGACCAGATATAACTTATGCCTTTCACCTTCTGGCAAAATTTGTGGAAAAGCCCACTACACAATGTTTCTCTGCTCTTAAGAGAGTGGTAATGTACCTTAAACATACCAAACATTATAGGTTGCAGTTTACAACATGTATTGACAAAGGTTTTGAAATTTTCTGTGATGCATCTCATGCAATGGAACAAAATAATTGCAGGGGTGTGTCTGGCATGGTGTTTTGTTGTAACGGTTGTCCATTTGAATGGAAGTCCCAGACACAAAACATTATTTGTCTCTCCACAACAGAGAGTGAATTATGTGCATGCGTTCAGGCCACTCGTGATGTAGAATGGTATCTGCAAGTATTTGCAGACCTACAGATGCAAGTAACACTACCAGTAAAAGTTTACCTTGATTCCCAGAGTGGACTCGCTATCCTATGTTCAGAAACCAATACGCAGCGCACTAGAGTCTTAAGATTACGTTTGCAGTTTGTAAAGAAACTAATTGCTGATGAAATGGTTGTATTTGAATATGTTCCAGGTGACAATCAAATTGCGGACATTTTTACAAAAGCACTTCCAAAGGTTACACATGAAAAACATGTAAAAAGTATGCTTTACGTTTTTGTTCCACAATGATGAACCGCAGGGGAAATGTTGAATGGTTTAATATGTAAAGGTTCATCATTGTTCCACTCGATGTGTATGTCTTTAAGGGGCCAGAAAAAGGGCCAGAGCAAGATAACGAGACCCAGCTTTACAGCTGTGAAACATAGCAGGTGCTGCTGAGTTGTACTGATTAAGCTGTGTTGGTAATTGGGTGTAGTATATAAGGAGCAGCACCTAGCTCTCCCATTACCCTGGGGGATGGGTTGGTGGTTGGGTCATGTTTGTTTGTTAATGTATTTAGTGTAAAAGGAGTTTTTGTTTTTCTTATTAAAACCTTGTTTAAGTTATTTTTGAGTCCCTTTTTAATGCATGGTCTCCCCAGCAAGCTCTCTGCAGCGCTACCATACTGCAAAAAGCCAACACCCGCAAGGCTTGGCGGAATCTATCAGGGTCCATCAGCCTCTGCGGGCGAGCCCAAATCGGCTCGCCACCTAAGCAGGGTGGGGGTGGAAAGTCAATCCTGGCTTTCAGAGCGTAGTTATCAGACCATGGCACCTTCATCGAAGGAGACATGAACACATCTATACCTACGCCAAAGATCAAATCCAGCGTGTGGCCTGCTTGATGTGTGGGGCCCGAAACAAACTGGGAGAGCCCTAGTGTCGCCATGGAAGACACCAGGTCCAGAGCCTGTGAGGAGGGAGTGGCATCAGCATGGATGTTGAAGTCCCCCAATACCAATAGGTTAGGGAACTCCAAGGCCCAGCCGGCCACCGCCTCCAGCAGGCCTGACAGGGTGGCTGCTGGTGCGCTAGGTGGCCGGTACACCAGCCAGACAGCCAAGCTCTCCTCGGAGCCCCACACTAGGCCAACACATTCAATGCCAGGGATCGATGGCGATGGTCGAGCCCTGAAAGGACAATCTTCCCGGATTAATAATGCCACCCCTCCCCCCCGGCCCACAGTCCACGACTGGTGGAGGACGGAGAAACCCGGGGGCGCCATCTCTCGTAAGGTAACTGTTTCCCCTTCGCGCACCCAGGTCTCCGTCACACAAGCCAGGTCGACCCCCTGCGAGGTGAAGAAATCTCGCAGGGTGGCGGTTTTGTTGCCTATAGACCTGGCATTGCACAGCACCAGTGACGGAGGTGAGTAATCCTTGCTCACCCTACCCTCATCCCTCGGGATGAGGCACAGATTGGAAGGGGTACGAGCATATTCATATCTCGATCCCCTTCGCCTATAACATCTGCCCCCACCGCCATACCTCCCTCGCCCCTCCACGGTAGCAATCCCAAGCCTCATATTAGCCTCCATTGGTGGCAATTAATGTTATTCTTTTGCAGCCTAAAACAATAAAACCTTAAAACAATAAAAACAAAAAACAAAAACAACCCAGAAAACAATAAAACAATGCAAATAAAAACTGCAAAAATTACAAATCCATCAAAATCAAACAAATTCCCAAGCCCACCCAAACATCCATCCCACCCCCATATATAAAAAATCTAAAGGGAAAGGAAAATTTTAAAACATGATTACAAGAACTCTGCACCCCTCCGGGTCCTCCTGGGCAGTAGCAGCATCAGTGGCAACAACCGTCCTTGTGAGGCCCCACCCTGGGCCAGATAGTAAGTGGCAGGAGCAGTCCTTGTGAGGCCTGTCAGGCCCCACCCTGGGCGAGGTGGTAAGTGGCAAGAGCAGGGCCCTCAGGCACTCACACAGGGGAGTCCTCCTGGGCAGCAGAGCAGTCCTTTTGAGGCTTCAGGCCTCGCCCCAGGCCAGATGGTAAGTGGCAAGAGCAGGGCCCTCAGGCACTCACACAGATATAACAGAGAATGATACGCTGTTGCATTCTCACATTTTTGTCCTCCTGGTTCATTTTTGTTCTGGGCAGTTATGGGAGTGTCAACCTCATTTGCCCTCTCCATTCCATATGTCTTCAGTAACTTTTCGATTTTTTCCTTCTGACTCAGAGAGTCATTTATCTGAACCTCTACTCCTAAGTAATTCTGAATCTCTCCCAAATACTTCAGTTTGTATTTGTTACCTAGGCTGTTTATAAACCAAGACACTTGCTTTTGTGCAGTTGTTATTAGACAGATATCATCAACATACAAAAGTAAATAACAAATGCTTCCTTGCACCATTGCTGAATATAAACAGGAATCAGCCAGGCTTTGTTTGAATCCCATCTTTTTCAAAGTTGTGTCTATGCAGTCATGCCATAGACGTGCACTTTAACACCATGCTGTCTTTCTCCAGCTCATAACCTGGTATTTGGTGTAAATACACCTCGGCATCAATAGGAGCATTTAAATATGCTGAGGCAACATCAAAATGATTAACTTTTAACCCCCTCAGACTTGCCATTGCTAAAACTGATTTTACTGTTTCAGCCTTTGCTGTTGGGGCAAACACTTCCTCATAATGTATCATTTTCCTTTGTGTAAAGCCCCTTGCAACCAGCCTGGCTTTCCTCTGAGAACTACCATCAGCCAGCTTTTTCACTTTAAAAACCCACTTACAGCTTATGGGCTTTTTACCTTCAGGCAATTCGGTAGGTACAAACACATTGTTGTTTAGCAGAGAGTTATACTCTGCCTGCATTGCCTTTAACCACGCCTCTTTCTCTAGAGTAGGTAACTCTTGCACTTCTTCAAAGTTTTCTGGCTCAGTTATACAAACCTGGTTTATGGTGGCTGGGAACCCATAACGGGCTGGAGATTGACCTTTATTACTTCTTTCAGACCTCCTTGGTTCATTAATCTCACATCCTGGGCTACCTTCAGGACTGCTTTTGGGGTGGATTGACTCTGGAGATTTACCTCCTCCTGTCCCTGTTGCACTTTCTTTTCCCCCCTGCTCCATGCTAGCAGCTGGAGAAAAATGCTCAGTCTTTACATCCTCCCTTTCAATTTCTCTGGGAGAGCTGCCAATTCTTAGCTTTGTTTCAACTGCCTTATCAGGTACGCTCGGCAGTAAAAAAAAATCTGGCAGCAGGTTTGCATGTATCTTGGGCCAATTTCTTTGCTCATTAAAGCTGGCTGACCGACTATAACTCAAAAGATTTTTATCATCTTCAAACCTGTAGGCTTTCATACCCAAGAAATAGCAACTGCTGTGCCCTTTTCCCACCTTTTCTTCGGTTTTTTACAGGTATGTCAACCTGTCCCAAAGATTCTCAAATGTTGCAAACTGGGACTTTTGTTATAGAGAATCTTATAGGGTATGTCATCTAATACCCTTGACCACAAACGATTTCCAATATAATTCGCTGTCTTAATACTCTCAGCCCAGTATTTAATTGGAAGATTTGCATCTGCTAACAATGCTTTCATTTGTGTCTGCAAGACACCTCCCCTACACTCTGCTACTCCGTTCTCCTGAGGAGTTGTCACGTTGGTAAGCCTATGTTTAATCCCTTGGGATCGCAACCAGTTTCTTAGGGAGCTTGCCATAAATTCTCCTCCCCTGTCTGTCTGAATAGAGCACACCTTTTGGCCAAGTTGCCTTTCCACCCTTCTTACCCAGAACTTCAAAGTTTGGGCAACATCAGATTTTTGCTTTAATGGATAGACCCAGCCAAATCTAGAATAGTTATCCACTAGGATCAAACAATACTTGTTGTGGGAGACACTTGGTGGAAAAGGACCAGTTACATCAGCATGAATCAACTCCAGTGGTTTTTTTGGTTTCTCTCTGGCTTGCTCTTGCCACTGGGCAAGCCTTGCTTTTAACCTCCTTGCAGATATTGCAGTCTAAGTAATTATCACAACTTTTAATGTTTTTCATCCCCCCACACAACTCCAATGTTTTGTTCAGCACCTTAAAGCTAGCATGAGCCAGATGCCTGTGCAGGAGATGAATACACATATCATGGGTCAGGACATTTTGCACATTCGCAACCTTAGACTCACACTGCAGTACATACATATTAGTTCTAAGGTTAACATTTGCCAATACTGCCCCATTTTGCTTTATCTGGCACTGATCTCCCACAAAGTTTACTTGAAAGCCTGCTTTTGCCAAGTCAGGAATACTCAGGAGATTGTTTTGCAAACTAGGCACACACAACACATTCCTGAATGTGTGTCCCAGCTGTGGGAACACAACCTCCCCCTCACAGACCACATTAGCTTTCTGGCCTGTAGCAAGACTTACATGTTTTTGTTTGAAGCCCTAGCACCAGTTAGCAATGCTTTTCTTTTACAAAAAGTTTGAGAAGCTCCGCTGTCCAGAACCCACAGCTCTTCATTTTCTTGACCATCTGCAGACACCCAAGCGGTAGACTCTCTCTGCTGCCTCTTGTGCGTCTGCTGTTTTTGTTGTTTCCTCGGGCAGTCCCGAAGCAAATGTCCACTGGACTTGCAGCAAAAACACCTTTTTACTTTGTTGACCACCGGCTGGTCTGCAGCAGCTCCTCCTGGCTGTTTCTCCGGCTCCCGATACCTCTGCTCTTCCTGGCTGTTGTTCCCTCTGGGATGCTCCAACAGCTGGGCTGAGGTCATCTTTCGCTCTGCATGCCTGTCCTCCTCTGCATACAACCGTCCGGTAACGTATTCCAGAGTCAGCTTATCAGTCTCTACCGACTCGAGGGAATTGACCAGCATATCATAGCTGTCATCAAGGGAACTCAGGACTATAAAGACTTTGTCCTCTTCCCCACAGGCCTCCCTCTTAAGGCTAGCTCCTGGAAACATCCTGTTAGGAATTTTAGGTGGTTCACCAGGGAGTCCCCCGGTTTCTTCCGACACCAGTATATTCTCCTGGTCAGTGTTATTAGCGAGCCAGCTGTCTCTCGCACATAGACAGCCTTGAGCACATTCCACGCCTCACTTGCCGTCACCTTATCAGCTACGTAGACTAGCTGGCTGTTATCCACTCCAAGGATGATCGTAGCCGAAGCTTTCTCATCCTTTTCTAGCTGGGCCTCTACTAGTGCCAGCTTTTCACTATCGTCCTCATCCTCCTCAGGGGGCTGCGGTGCAGCCTCCACCACTTTCCACAGGCCCTCACGCTTGAGGAAGTGTTCCATGCGGACCGACCAGATGCTGTAGTTTGTGGCCGTCAGCTTCTCCAGCAACACGCCAGCTCTAGACTGCTCCATCCCTGCAGCTCACCTCCAGCACCCACAGCTAGATAACTGCCACCTGTACTCTTGTGCAGTGGAAGCGTGCTGGGCCCATAACCCTGTCGCGAATTCCTCACAGCACTTTTAGCAGAATGCTTAGAGTCCCAGGTTCTTTAGTGCAGTATTTAATATTGTGAGCTAAATATATATACAAATATCTACAGAAGCAGTTCATATAATCAGACAGAGTACCTGCACTTTGAGGCAAAAGAAGACTCCACACTCATCTAAACCACTCCACCACAATTACTGTTGAACAGGCTTTTCTTTTAAACCGGTGACAGCCAATCACATTACTGCTGAGTCATTCCACAGAGAGTATTGCATCAGCCTGTTGCAAACTGAAGCCTGCAGACTTACATACACAACATCCTGTGAATCCCAACATTCCAACATAACAATTTTAACAAAATTACATCATCCACATTGATTCCCCCCATTTTTCCCCTCCCCCCCCGCCCTACAAAAGGAAAAAGAAACCCCCCTCCCCCTAGACTTCCCTCAGTTCCTCTCTCTGGTTTCTCGACACATAATTTTATCTGCATGTTGTAAAATTGTAAAAATCCTCAATTTATACATTACCAATAAAGCATTTGTGGATGTTTATTCAAAACCTGCCAAGAAGTCCAGTTCATTTTGTTGTTTCTTCAAATACTTTGCAAAAGGCTCCCATTCATCTTTAAAATCACAGTTATCCTTGTCACGTAGTTTGTGTGTCAATTTTGCCAATTCCGCATAGTCCATCAGTTTTTCTTGCCACAGTTCTTTAGTCGGGATTTCCTCGTTCTTTCATCCTTGTGCTATTAAGACTCTTGCCGCCGTTGTCACATACATGAAAATGTTTTTTAGTTTCTTTGGCAGGTCTTTCTGCACAATCCCTAACAAGAAGGCTTCAGGCTTTCCACAAATGCTAAATGGAACATTTTCTTCAACTCATTATATATCATTTCCCAATTTTTTAAAATTTTGCTACAATCCCACCACATATGATAAAAAGTCCCTTCTTTTTCCTTACATTTCCAACACAGTTTTGAACTGGTTTTGTACATTTTCCCTAATTGTACTGGTGTTATATACCATCTATACATCATTTTCATATAGTTTTCTTTCAGTAAAGAACAATCTGTGAATTTCAAATCCCTTTTGCATAACTTTCCCCAATCTTCCAACATAATGTTATGACCTATATCTTGTGCCCATTTAATCATAACTGCTTTCACCTCTTCATCTTTCATCTCCCATTCTAACAAAATACAGTATGCACCTTTCAGCAATTTTACTTTCCCTTCTACCACTTCTTTTTGAAATCTGGATGTTGTATAGCTAAATCCCTTCTTATTGTCTTCTTTGTATGTTTCATGTAGTTGTCGATAATGTAACCAACTCTGAAAATGGTCTTTTATTTCTTCATATTCTCTTAAACAGCCCAGTTACAGGGGTTGTTATTTTGTACTAATGAGCAGCTATGGTACATACCAGGTTTTTCAACTATGACACGTGACCTGGTTTAGATGATCCTATCTCACCTTAATAAGTTAGCATATACAGTGGTACCTCAGGATGCGAATGGGATCCGTTCCAGAGCCCCGCTTGCATCCTGAAGTGAACGCAACCCGTGACTGCGCATGTGCGTGACGTCAATTTGACCGTCTGAGCATGCACGAAACCCAGGAGTAACGTGCTCCATTACTTCCAGGTCGCCACGGAGCGCAACCCGAAAGCACTCATCCTGAAGCATATTCAACCCGAGGTATGACTGTATGCTAGTCTTGTGGCTTTCCTCCTTGATGTGAGTTGGTTAAAGCTGGAAGTCTCCAAATAATAATGGTTTCCCAGTTCCTCAGGACTAGGAACTATAATATCCTGGGGCGCTTCCAGATTGATGCTATTTTGGAGTGGGATTGAATCATATGCTGGCAAATTCAGGTTGCACATTTAAAATTGCATTTGGTCTCTTGTGCAATAAAACCACTTCCTAAAAAAAAAACAGTTTTCTTTACAATAAAGAAAGTAAGGGGAAATGCTTTGGAAAGTGTTGGGATAATAATTGCTCGATGCAACATCATCTAACCTCCCTGCAGACAAATCAGAATGAATGTGCAAGATACATTTGGTGTCATCTAACCTCCCTGCAAACTTTGTGCAAACAAATCAGGATGAATGTTTCAATAAACAGGTTTCCTGAAAGGACCACCTGTTTGGAACAAGCTAGGATTACAAAACATGCTTTGAAGTTTGTTTACGATCCTGGATTATTTCCCAACCTGGTCACCATAGTTTCCAAGTTCAGACAAAATAGGAAACTATGATTCTTGGTACACTTATGCTGTAACTGACTTGTGCTGAGAAGGAAAGGGTGATGTACCTATCACAAAGCTTGTTCACGGGTAAAAGGTAAAGGTAAAGGGACCCCTGACCATTAGGTCCAGTCGTTACTGACTCTGGGGTTATAGCGCTCATCTCACTTTATTGGCCGAGGGAGCCAGCGTACAGCTTCCGGGTCATGTGGCCAGCATGACTAAGCCGCTTCTGGTGAACCAGAGCAGCACACGGAAATGCCGTTTACCTTCCCGCCAGAGCGGTACCTATTTATCTGCTTGCACTTTGACGTGCTTTCAAACTGCTAGGTTGGCAGGAGCAGGGACTGAGCAACAGGAGCGCACCCCATCACGGGGGTTCGAACCGCCGATCTTCTGATTGGCAAGTCCTAGGCTCTGTGGTTTAACCCACAGCGCCACCTGCGTCCCTTCTGTTCACGGGTACCATTGTCCAAACTGGATCAATGAAAAAAAATCATGTTCGCCATCACATTACATGCTAAGCATGTACTTATGAGGCACATTTGAAATGTGACACACATACATTTTCAGAGGGCTAAGATGCCAAATGCTTTAATGTCAGACTTAGTGGAGAGGAGGGTGCAAAGCAACCTTGTATTCTCTAAGATGGTCAAATGCTTGTGAGATCAAACTATTTCAGCTCCCTCCCCTACCCCACCCCCCTGGCTGTCTTCCAAACCCCCATCCTCTTTGGGACACTACCTCAGTCCCTGGTGCCTTACAAAATGCCCATGACATACTTTGCCACCATGGGGCACAAACTGGAGGAAAAGAAAACAACAGAAAGATCATGAGAGGAAATGCCAATGGGGAGGGTAGAGAAGAGACAAGCACAGTGGCTCAAACCTAGTTAGAAGCCACACCTTTTGCTTCCCATCAGTTTCCAGATATGGGGAAGCTGGCTACAGATTTATAGTAGAGGTACGGATTTATAGCACAGTGCTATGTGCTCAGAGGCACGCCTTCTCCACAAGGTCCAAGGTGGAATGCCAACACTGGAAATGGGTCCCAGGACTAAACCCTGCCTCGAATTAACCTTGGCATAGCCATTAACCACAAAAGAATCCGAGTACACACAGAGGGATATTCTCAGCACCTGGCAAGCGGCACCAGCTTAAACAGCTGGAAAGAACAGGCTGGTGCCAGCCTCCTTCCTTCCATCCCAAACTGGCCATGAAGTGGTACTCAAATGCACCACCCTGGGCAAGCTGGTCCTGGCTGTGCCAAGAGGGGGACGTGCTGAGATCTCACATTGGCTACAGTCCTTTGGCATCTTCTGACAAGGAGTGGAGAATCAGGTGGTGCTCCAGTCAGCTGTTGCTCTTTAAGCCCCCTAAGGGCAGCACAAAGCTGCCCTCTTTACTCCCTGCTCTGCAGCCCCTTTTCCCTCAAATTGAAAAGCATTCCCCAGGCTAAGAGTTGCCCTATTTTCCCTGCCTCTTGCCCCATTGCCCACATGTGGCTCTTCATTAGAAGGGCAGCCAGGAATTCATTCAACAGATGAAGCCTTCCCCAGCAGGGAGGGCAAAGCGTTCCCCTTTGGGACGTCTGCTAGTGGAGCCGCTGCTAAACAGGCAGACATTCAGCAGATAAAAGTATTCCCCAGAAGAGGGTGCATAGCCTTCAGGGGTCTGGGTTAAAGGCGGATCTACATGGATCCTCATGGATCCTCCACTTTTTAAAAAATAACTCCAACAAATCCAGTATCAAATCACACATGGAAGGCACGCCTACAGACTGGACTATAAAATGTTGGTTTCTATTTCCCTCACTGAGCAGCAACTGCAGTCACAAGACATTGTTTTGCATTCCACAGTCAGAGTTACTGTTGGGTTCCCACGGGAATGGGAGACTGGATGTGACGTACACTGGTTTCCTGTTTTTCACTGTTCTCTCGGTGTTCTTTGTTTCCGAGAGGGGTTGCTTCTCTGCTCTCACAGAGGCAAGATGCATGTTTGTATTCTCTCAGCATAGAGTGGAAATAAAGTTAAGAATGTGGCACATACTGCTCATCCTTCTGCTGTGTGGACTACTCTGCTTGGGCTCAAGATAAGATGAGCCTGTATCAGCTTCAGATGGGCCGAAGCTGGTCAAAATCTCACATTTTTGGTTCCGGGCCCAGATAAATGGAATCGGAATGCCAGCAGAGGAACAGAGAGATGGAACGGTCTTATCTGCTCTGCGTGTCAAGAAGATTGATGAGAGGTATGTGCTCATTGCTCCGGGAAGCCTGCCAGCTCCTAATTAATGGCTTTATGGCTGGACTTTGAACTTTTAAAGCCGTTTGCCGTGGCACAGGCTCAAAGGCTTGGGAAAACCGAAAGTACTTTTACAAGTGCTTTTGGAAGCAGCTGTACTCAAACGCAGCTTGATTAATGACGCAGAAGGCTAATGCCAGAGTCATGGCGGCCCTTCGGGATGCTTGTGGGATTCCTAAGCTCAATAAGAAGAATTATGCGGAGTGGGTACTCTACGCAGAGGCTCTTCTGCGTAAAGAATGTCTGTTTGATGTTATTACAGACAACCCCCCAGCTCCAATAACAGATGAATGGGCAGCTAAGGATTCCAAAGCAAGGGGAACTCCTACATTGATAGTCTCCCCAGAAGAGCTCTGTCTGTTGCGTGATAAGACCTCAG